AGGCAGGATCCAGCACCTGGGCAGGGCTTTCTTGTGCAGCAGTGCAGGGTTCTGCCTGGGATGGAGAAGGATGCTTGAGGCCATGCACTGTCCATGTGGGCTCTGTGCGCAGAGCGTGAATTATTTCTTCTTTTTGCTGTAAAATCGTGCTTCTGAGGGGCATGCTCATGAAATATAAATGTGAGACCTTCTTTAAGTGAGCAGAGCCCACAGATGAACGGCGGGTCTGCGCAGGCAGCAGCACGCAGCCTTTCACTTCCTAACTGCAATTAATAATTTATGATTTTCATAACACGAGCTGTGATCTGGGAGCCCGAAAGGCTCTGGGGGCTGACGGGGCTCCCCCACAGCTCACTGCCACCAGTGCTTCACCTGCACTGACAAGCACTGTCCCCAGAGCCACCCGCACAGCGCTGCGCAGGATCCGGCCGCCGCTTGCCGCCACTGCAGGGAGAGGGGTCTGGTCCCCAGTGAGGGTGGGTGGCACTGGCTGGCAGTGGTCGTCGTGGGTTGGGGATGGGTTGGGGTTTGTACCATAAAACTTGCCAGTCTGGGGAGAGAAGGGGTGAGGAGAGGGTTGAGAGCCTGCTGGAGGGTTGGGTAAATCTGGATGAAAACTTCTTTTCATAATCATCCCTCTGTGATAACCTCGGTTTCTGCAATAGCAGCATCTTCTGTGAGGAAAATGATCCCGAATAGTTCATTCTGAGCCAGCTGACGCTAAGTCCATGCCCAGGAGGTGCCAGGTGCTGGGCCAAGGTGCCAGGCTAAGGCCGGATCGGTGACTCACAGCTGGGTCTGTAACACAAGTGTGACTCCTAAGCAATGTCACGGAGGCCCTTGCTGGAGGACTGCGACGGCGAGGGGCTGCGAGGGTCCCGGGAGAGGAGACACGGCTCCAGACAGGCTGCCCGAAAAGGCAGGACAGGGGCACAGGGGTTGGCACACATCATTTTCATGCCAGAGCTCTCCAGTCTGGTGAAACACTCTTTGCCACCCGTGGGAGGAGGGTGATGGCAGAGCCACCATCACCCAGTGACCAGGGACACTGCGGAGCTCCAGGGCAGGGGAGGGTCCCCGGCGGGTGTGGGGTGGCACTGGGACCAGGCAGGGTGTCCTGGCGCCCACCTGCCCCTGCCTGGGCTGAACTTCCCCTCCTGCTTCTGCTCCGTTTTTATCTTAGAAGACAAACCCTTTGTGGTGGGCGGTTGTTTTTCTTCCTTTCCTAATTTAGATGGTCCCAAGGCCCCACTGGCAGATAAAGACGAGTTTATTCCTTCTCCGTCTTGCTGGAACACGCTGCTCCTGCAGATATGACATCAGGGGAACGTGGGGAGGGCTCAGCTTCCCCAGCACAGCTCAACTCTCACCTACATCTGCCCTTTGCCACTCACTGCCCTGACATCATGCCCCAGCCGTGGTGCTTCCGTCTCCGACCGGGCTCGGTGGTGGTGGCTCTGGCTGTGACAATCTCTGTGTCACCTCGGCTCCTGCTCCAAATCGTTCTGGTGCCCCAGCTCATCCCACCAGCCAGGAGTCCCAGTGCCACATGGACCCCATGGCTTCACTTTGGCCTCAGCCCCTCTCCCAGGTTCCTGCTGTGTCCCCAGGGAGTGCAGGGGCAGAAATGGCCCTGGGGGATCAGCTCATGCCCCCCGTGTCCCCAACAGCCCTGGTCTGCCGTGGGGGGCAGAGGTGGGGACAGAGCAGAGTGGGTGCAGCGTCACACAGGGATGCAGAGACACCGCGGGAGCCCGGCTGGACTTGGCATGGAGCTCCTGCCATGCCAGTGGGGATGAGGACAGCTTGGAATTCCGGTCCCTTGCATCCCTGCTGTGTGGAGTGACCTGGGAGAGCTCAGCCCTCCTTCGTCCGTCAGGACGGTTGGCCCCAGCCCCACCAGAAAGGAGGCCCGTGGGGATGCTGGGACGGCTCTTGCACCAGCGGAGCCCTGGCTGCTGCCGGGCACGGCCACAGGCTGTCCCTGGCTGTGAGTGCTGGGGCCATGCAGGCTGTCGCAACACAACATGAGACTCCGCTGTGTTTGCTCGGCTGGGACAGCGTGTCACTGCCGACAGTCTGGGTTGCATCATGCTGGTGGAGAGGGAAGAGCAGCGCCCAGGCTCTGTCTGCTCCCCCGGTCAGAGGCAGCCCCTGGCTTGGCAGGACGTAGGGGCAGGGGACAGGCAAGGAAGGGCAGAGGACAGCAGTGAGAGGGTTGAGGGGAGACAGCAGTGAAGATGGAGGTCTCGTTGCCTGCTGGAAAAAAATTGGAGACGAGGGGCTCCCTGAGGTGCTGGAGGGAAGGACTCAGGTCTGGGGACCGGAGGTTTCAGTGACAATACAGCCCGACTTACCCACACGGCACGGGTGGGAGAGGGATGCTGGTGAGGCTCCTCCTGACCACGGAAGTCTGGAGGAAATGGCATCAGGGATGTCAGTGTCTTCCAGGGCAGAGGAACGATGAGCCCCAGACCCTGCACCACAGGCTCTCCTGGGCTGCCCTGGGCTGCTGCCAGTGCCCTGCCTATTCCCAGGGCCCAGCAGAAAAATGAACTCCAAAATCCCCTTCATGGGATGGCCGGACAGCTGGAGGTCTCCAGCGGGATGGCATTGACAGGGATGATTCCCTCTCTCCTGCATCCCGAGAGGTGGAGGCTGAGGTGTGAAGCTGGTGGGGCCGGTTCCCCTGTGGCAGCTGGCACCGGGCACACACACATTGAGCATCACCACTGAGATCTGGCTAAAATGCAAACCCTGGCTCGCCTGTCCTGGCTTTTCAAAGAGGTCTGAAACCCCAGGCCAGTCTCACCACCTCTTCCTGGGCAAGGGAGAGTGGCCGGACTGGCGCTGCCTTCCCCAGGCCGCAGGGGTGATGCCGGGCACAGCACGGACCCCGGCCCCACGTGTGGCCATGGAGGCGCTCGCAGGCTGGGTGCTGGGAAGCACCTGGGGTGAATTTGGGGTTGTTTATCACCACTGGTGGGGAGAGGGAGCTCTGTCCCCCCAGTGCTCTGCCTCCTTGGGGAGGGACATCACCATCCTCTGAAATCAGCCCAGAGGCTGGGGAACGAGCTGGACCAGCAGTGAGGTCAGGGATACCTGGAGAGCCGCTGGACCTTGGCGGGTGGTAGCATGAGGACAGTGAAGGAAATCAAAGATAGAGGCAGGAAATAACAAATTTGAGTCATCTCTGAGAAGTACATGGCCAAGGACAGCTTCAGAGAGCTAATCTGAGGAGATAACGTTGCCAGGACAGAGGAGCCTCAGAGATGAGCTCATGGAAAGAGAGAATCAAGGCAGGGAAATGTCTGAAACTCCAGCAGCCAGCACGGTCCTTCGCATCACGCTCAGCTGTGTCACCCCTGGGTGCTGGGGGGACAGCGGGGCTCGACACCCAGCTTTGAGTGCTCTGTACACTGAGGGATGCATTTTGTAGCCTCTAAAGACTTCCCTGAAATCCTGCACTGGGTGTTTATCCCCTGGCAGACAGGACTCGCTGCAGTGCAGCCTGTCTGCTTTTAGTCTGGTGGAGATTAAGCTCTCCAGGGCCTAATGGCAATTCTTTTGGCAAGCGCTCAGCAGGCCTTAATCCATCTTATCTCTGCTCTGAAAGGATGAATTAGGCGCCTCTCCAAGCGTTCGGTGGGGAGCAGAAGCGGCAGGAGCTCTGGCGGCGCGCAAGCTGCTGCGGGCGCCCCGGCGATGCCCTACATACGGCAGAGCCCCGGAGCTCACGGGCGGGAGCCCCAGCGATCTGGGGGCTGGGGAAGAGGCAGCGGCGCAGGACGGGCAGCACGCTTTCCTCTGCACAGCAGGACCCTCTCCGCCCTTCCACCCCTGAACATCCAGATGTTGGATCACCGGGAGTTTTGGCCTGAATAACAAATCTCCTGATTCGCTTGGGATTTGCCTGGGTATGAGCCAAGGGCAGCTTCTTGGCTCATGAGGGAAGACTGGGGACATCGTGGCCCCGCTCATCCCCATGCAGAGGCTCCAGTGCCAGCACCGGTGCCCGTCCGGTCCATCCAGCCCGGGGACGTCCCTGCTCCCATGGTCCAGATGCGGTCAGGACTCCCAAGGAGCTCAGAGGACACCCTGATCCCGTGGGATGGTCCCTCATCCCACTTGACACCCTGTCATCAGGCACAGGGACTCCGAGCGTGCCTTTTGCAAACCTGTCCTGACATCGCTAATAATAAACTGTGTTAATTAGGGAGCTCTCCCAGCCCTGCGTGATTTGTTTGGTCAGTTATGGGGGATGTTGTCAGGGTAATGTAAATGAGGGGTGGCATTCACCTCCCCAGCAGCCGTCTGGAGTGCTGGAGCCGTGTCTGAGACCCGAGGCACTTGCTGCACGTCAGGGCAACCCGGTCGGTGCAGGCACCGCAGGCAAGGACACCGCTCGGCTCAACCCCACGCAGACATTTGTCCCGAGGAATCACAGCTCACACCCACCCAGCACGACGGCTGCTCGCGCCCATCCCCACTGCAGACACCCAAAGCTGAAGGGCCGTGTCCCAGCCAGGCTGTCCGCCCTGGCACCTGTCCCTGGCTTTTAGATGACTGCCCATCACCGCGGCGTCTTGCCTTCTCCAAGCCGCTTCCACGTGAAAGCAGAGAGGGCGGCAAAACCATTTGTGGGCTTTGCAGAGCTTGACATTTCCCACTTTTCTGCATCAAGACCCTGCTGGCAGTGGGCAGCTGGAGGCTTCATTTCTTCTTGGCCATGGTATTCCTCAGGTGACAGATGGCCCGGTGGCTCGCCAGCTCGCCAGCCAGCCCAGCAGGGCTCAGCGCCACGGCGGGCACTGGGACAGGGCCTCTCTGCACCTGCCAGAGGGGACCGGATTGTCCTGAGATCCGTCAGGACCGGTTTGCAGGGTGGTGGCAGAGCCCCTGTGCATCGCCCGGTCCCAGCCCGGGGTGCAAACCCTTCAGCTGGGAAATGCCTTTAGAGGGGCGGTTTCCGTCTTTGCCACAGCACAGCGAAGGCGGTGATGGGCTCTCTGCGGGGCCGCTGCCAGCTGGCACCCATGGGTGCTGCCAAGGGCCTGCCGCTGCTGGATTGCCCTCCGGGGGGAGGTGAGGGGCGGGTGGTGTCATGCCTCAGCTCTGCTGCCTGCTGCTGCCCTTGCCCCTGACCCGAGGCCTGTTTACTCTGCGCCAAGCTGTGCCGCCCGTGAGTCAGCGTCTGAGGTGGGCCAGCAAGGCTGTGGAAGCTCTCTGGGTGCTGCCGGGGTGACACCCTCGCCAGCAAATCTGTCCCGCCACGCTGGCCCCCAGCCCACCCCTGCGTCGCACCGCAGCAGCTCTGTGGGGACCCCAGGCATCCCTCCTCAGCTGGCGGGTCCTGGGCGTCTTTGCTGGAAGATTTAAGCTCCACCTTGTTTCTCTCCTTGCCCGCCAAAGCTCCTTTTTTTCCTTCTGGAAGAGGAAAATAATTAATTGAGCAAGAATTAATCGAGAAGCAGAAAATAAAGCTGCCGATTTTCAAATGAGACGTGAGGTACTGCAGGACTTGCCCACTGCTTTCTGCTCTAAGCCTGTCCTTTGGGTCCAACTCAGGTTTGTCCCGCTCCAGCCACCGCCTGCTCTCGTCTCTATTCCTGGCCTGAAGAGCCCTGCGCTGGCAGAAACCCCCTCGTGTTTCATCACCGGTTGAACTCCGGTGCATGCCGTCTCCAAAGCAACAAGCAGCTAAAATTGGTAGAAAGTTTGATCTGAGCCTGAGCCAAGCTTAATTTTTAATTGCTTCTAATTTCATTCTCTGGGCTGAGTTTGCCAAGCTGGGCAGAAAGGTCGTGGCAACAGGTGCCGGCTCGGTTACCCGCGGGCGGCGCTCCGGCCCTTGCCGGGTTGGAAGCCTCAGACGGGAGCAGCCGGGCTCTGCCATGGCTCAGGGGGATCCCGGCGCGGCAGCTGCCTTGCTCCCCCCTCTCCAGGCCCCTGCTGGGCTCTCAGATCCCCTGGCAGCCCCGATTGTCCCCGCTGTGGCGGAAGAGATTGAGCACCTTGCTCCAGCCCCTGGAGGCAGGGGGGCAGTTTTTCAGCTTTTGCTTTTGTATGTTCAGAAGACCAGCATGATGCGAGGATTTGCCGTTAAATCCCAAACACCCTGTGGCATTCCTGAGTCCCTTCCCACCCCTGCAGCCTCCCCTTTCTCATCCCATGTCTGCAGTCTCCCTCTTCCCATCCCACCCCATCCCATCCCATCCCATAGTCAGGCAAGCAATCACGGGAGTGTTTCTGGAATGCAGACACAGGGAAAAGCGTATTCTCCACTCGAGCTCCCTGGAAGGCATCTCTTCTTCCAAATGTTTCCCCGAGCACGGATTAGGAGGCCACATTCCCAGTGTGGTTCACGGCTGCCAGCAGAGAGAGTGAAAATTGTCTGGTCCTGGCTCAGAGCCTCTGGAGCCTTCCACAAAAATCCCCAAACACGCTGTGCTTGCGCTGACAAAGCAAACAGTTATTCAAATGACAAAGGTCACCTCTCCCCTTTCTGACAGCTATTTTTGCACCACGTACTGAAGTCCAAGGGTAAAGGAGCTGCAGAGCCAGGCATGGCTCCACCCCTTGCACCGGCGCAGGGTATTAGAAGGATTTGGGAGAGCAAGAAACCCTCTCGGGGCAGAAGGCAGGAGGACAGGGTCCCTCCCACCCGGTTTTCCCACTGATGTCCTCCAAAATCATCCCAGCGAGCCCCCAGCAGGGGTTGAAAACATTTACAGGATGTGGTCACTTGGGGGTTTGCGCCCGGCCGGGTTTCACCGAAGCCCTGAGGTCTGCCCCGTAAGGTGTGGGGAGCAGCCGTCAGCATCTCACCACCGATGCCTGGAAAGCAGCGAGTCGGTGCCAGCGGCTCCCGGCCCTGCGAGGCTGCCCCTGCGTCACCAGTGGCTGCGAACACCCACGTGCTGCACCCAGACGCGGCTGGGGGCTTCTTGGGACACTCACAGAGGTGGAGAAAACCACCAGGAGGGCTGAGGCCGCTGGTGGTGCGGCTGCTGCAGCTGCTGGCACAACCCATAACTGCCCCGACACAAGAGCAAACCCTCTTCCTTGGCACAGAGGTGCCTGAGGCATCCCCGAGGCCAGGGAAGGCGTCTGGCCCCGCTGTAAAACTCGATTTCTGACGTTATTCGCGTTTTCTGCAGAGTCCTGTGCAAAGCTGGTGACGGGGTGTCCCTGGGGAGCCACGCACCGGGAGGAGGAATATGCACAAGAAACTGCTGGTGGGTTTTCTCTTGTTCATCCAGAAAAAAATCCTGGTGAGAACAGAGCTCCCCGGCAAGGAGCTGCTTGCCGTTCATCCTTGTCACATTAAATAAAAATCCTCCCAAGCATGTAACATGTGGGACCCGGGTGCTGTGCAAGGCTGGGAACCCCCCCCGCTCCCCTCTGCACCCTGACCTTGCCATCCCCAGGTGGTTTTTTCCCAAAGGAAGATATTTTCTGGCCAAGGGTATGGATTTGGGTGATTTGGGAAGTGGCCAGTTAGCAGAAGCAAACCCGAAAGTTCCCATTTTAAAGTTCCCAGCACAAATCCTAGTTTTTTTTGGCTGAAATGGAAGAGTTGCGGTGCTCCATGGTCTTGGAGAGTCACTGCCAGCCACGATGATCGCGGCATCCTCAGCCACTTTTTTTTTTTGGCAGGAAACGTCCCATTTTGGATTCCTTTTTTTGAGGTGGGAGGATTTTTTTGGACCATGCTCAGGATTTAACTTTTCTCTGTGCCCTGCAGAGGGGAAGCAATTTTCAGGCCCCCCCTGAGCTGCATAGGGGGGTTCTTGACATCGGGATTTTTTCTCTAGGTACCCGATTTTCTTTGCGGTGGGAGGATCCCTGGATGTCAAACCCAGAGAGCTCCGAGGGCACACGCTCAGCACCAGGAGGGTGGGTGGTCTGACGCGAGCCTGCAAGCTCAAAGCTCAGACACGGGCTTGGACCCACTTCAGCTTTGTTACCGTCTGCCGAGCAAAGTCCCACGCATCGAAACACATGTCTACGTCAGGTAAAAACTCCACAACATTTGTTTTTCTAAGAAATTCAAACTGAACAGAGGTAGCTCTGTCCCAGACCTGCGTGAGTAGATCCACTTCATGCCCACGTGTTCCTTCTCCAGGCTGTGCAGGCAAAGCCGGGTGCAGGGTGCCCCAGGCCTGGGACCTGTGGGTGCTGCGTGCTGGGCAGCTCCCACTTGGGAAACCAAGACCCACAGGCGGGTCTAGGGAGAGCTCAGACCCACCCTGCGGGCAGCGAAATGCTCATGGTTACAGCTAAGGAAACCGAGAAGCAGCCAAGGTCACTGTCACAGCAGCAGAAAGCACCGGGGCTGGAAATGGAGTCTGGGGATCTGGAGCCTTCCCGCAGCCCGCTGGGCTCCCAGTCCCCGCTGCCCTTTCCAGCGAGGTGGCTGGGAAAGGGGCTGCTGGAGCTTTTGGTGCTTTGGGGCGTTTTCGTCTGGTTCTGTTCAGGTTTTTACAGCAGTAGACAGAAAGCAGTGGGTTTTTTTCATCTCCTAGTGCCTGCACATCCTGTGGGGTAGGGTGTGAAAACCTGAAAAAATCCGGAATCTGAGCGTGGAAATCAAGAAAAACCTTGGCTGAAGATTAAGATATATTTATACACCCTATTGGAAATTGTTCATGACAGAGAAAGCCTTATTTCTGTCACTTCTTGGGCCCCACCCTTCAGAGCCCGTGCTGTCCCTTCCCCTTGCTGTCTTGAGGTGACCCTCTGCAGCTGTAGGAAACACCCTGACTTCCCAGCTGCGCCCCGAGGCCGGTATTCCCGCACACCCCGTTACGTAGCTGAGTACACGGTTTGGAGGAAGCTGGTCGGGTGGGCTGAGAAACATCACCGCTCCCTTGCCTGGTCCCCTGAGGTATGGCCGTGCCTCTCCCTCTGCTTTGGCCACCAGAGCTGGACGGGAAGCACGAGCATCACATCTGTGAACTGGGCAGGAAGGCTCTGGGGAGAGGTTTGATCCCCACCGGGGGGTTCAGGACTGTGCCCAAGTGCCCAAGTGCTCTTCCCCTGCATTGGCTGCGTGAGGAGTGTGTCTGCTGGCATCCCCCAGGTAACTCTGCAGCTTTCTCCTACGGGTTGTCAGAAGCCGGCAGGTACCTTCCTGGGCCTCGTGGGGATGCAGGGACAGGCAGGGACCCAGCGGAGCCCTCAACAGACGTGGCTGCCACTGGCTGGGGGTGCAGCACGGCCAAACCCGGCAGCAGCATCGTCCCGGCGCTGGGGCCAGCCGCGTGCTGGCAGCTTGACTCCAGCCACCTCACACCCCCCCTCACTGCAGGGGTGTCCTGGTCGGACCTGCCGCACCAGGGCAGAAGGGGACGGTGAGAAATAACCTCCTGAGCAAAGCGAGAGAGGAACGCAGCGTGCAGGAGAGCTCAGGAGGCCAAGCAGCACTTAGCCAGCACTCACCCAACAAGGTGTTGGACAGAAGTGCAGGTCCCTGAGGGCCAGTGTGGTCACCCATCCCGCGTGTTCTGGGGTGGCTAAAAACCTTCCTGGGCAGCAGAAGTGACCCTGAGGTTTAGCACATGGCGCAGCCAAAAAAGCCATTTGTGCTGCATCAGGAGACCCAGGCCAGAGGGGTTGTGCCAGCAGGATGGAGGGGTCATGGCCACCGGCAGATGCCGACTGATAAATGCCGAGCAGTGCCAGAACCGCCTCCAGCCCCATCGCAGAGGAGGGGCCGGGTGACCCAGAGTGACGTCGGGGTTGTGGATGCAGTTGCCGTGGGCTCCGCTCACGCAGTGGCTCTCTCGTTCTTCCAGAAACGGTGAAGGGAATGAAAGGGTGTTCAGAAAACATCTGGAGAAATCCCCCGTCACCCCCATGTCCACCAAAGGCTCTTCCAAAGCCGCTGTCTCTGTCACTAGCCAAAGGCTACTAAAAAAAGGCAAGGCACTGTTGTTCTGATGGAAAAGCAGAGCCCAGTCTTGGTTGCAGTGGTCCAGCTCTCCCCACATGGGCTTGGCAGCGAACTGAGCATGCCAAGGGGCAGCCTCATCCCCGGAGGACCTGGAGCTCCCTGCGCCGATGCGCTGCAGCCGCGCCGGCGAGAGCCCCTAATTCAAACTGCATGTTGTTTAAATCGAGAGAAGGCTGTAAAAATAAGGGTCGGATTTCTCCAGCTGCCAAGCCTCCCACGTTAACCCAAGCCCTCCGGTTTCCTGCCTCTGGCATGTGTGACCTTCTGCACAGTAACCCCAGTGCTCCCCAAGGAGCCCCGGGATGGCAGGAAGAATAAAGGGTAGCGAAGACTTGTGCAACCCTCAACCAGCCCCGCCAGGAAAAGAAGGAGGCTGCTTGGACCGAGAGTGCTGCGGGCCTTTTATGTTGGCTTTCCAAGCATGAGAATGGGCTTCCCAGCTCCGGGCTAGCGGTGCCTGGGATCCTCCCTGGGTCAGAGGAACCGCCGGGTGGCTGCGAGCCTCAGCCTGTCCCCCAGCTGGGCACTGGTGGCCTCGCCCCTGGCTGCCAGAGGTTTATCCAGCACTCGTGGGGAAAACCCGAGGAGAGAGGACGGGAATCAAGCCCTGGTAACGGGGGTGAGCTCCCATTACAGCCGGTCCTTGCTGGGGGTGGACAGCTGCAACGAATTTTCCGTGTTTGTGACTCACCATGCTTGGAAATTTGTCTCTGCTCGTGAAGCAGCACCGTCAAGAGCAGAAGCTTTCACGAGCTCACTGACAGGGATGAGAGGGTGTCTCCGGCCCTGGGGAAGGATGATGCTGGTGCTCAGGCAGCCTGTGGCATCCCACTTTCACCGGTCCCCTCGAGGCAGCGAGGGTCAGGGTGCAACCAGCCGGGCTGCCAAGCACTGCTGGGTGCCAAGGCCAGGAGCACGCCGCCCCTCTCCGCAGCGGGGAGCGATGGGTTTCTGGTCCAGCAAAGCTCACGCTTGGGGAGAACGGGAATAAGGAACCCCAGCGCGTGGGGATTTCAGCAGGCGGAACTGTTTTGCTGGGCTGGGCCCCACGGCTGTGCGATAGATAAATCACTGCCAGGCCCAGGTTTGAGCAGAGACCAAGGCGGATGAGGTGCCCGCTCCGGCTGGGAATGCTGCCAGGGCCTGTCTGGGTGAGACGTGCTGCTGCGCTCAGCCAGGGGCCAGTAGGAAATCCCTGTTGGATGTCTCCCGACCTCCGCTGAATCAGAATAACCGTTCCTCTGGAAAACCTAAATTTATCCCTGAAGCGGTGACAGCATAATTCACATATGCCCTAATTCCCTCTCATTGGAGTCTCCCTTACGTTTGCCTTTTCCAACCATAGAGCAACGCTATGAGCAACCCTCCAGTAAATCAGCATCTCTCCTCTCCCTCCTGGTGACGTGAGCCTGGGGCTGAGCAGCTGCAGGAATTCATGCGAGTCCAGACCAGTCTGAACTTTCACACAGTGACCCACCAGGTCAGCGTGGGAAGGAGTGGGATGGAGAGAGGCAGAGAACAAAGACCCATCGCAGCCCATCTGCTCACAGCCTGCCATGGACAGGACAGCGACAGGGATGGGGACGGGGATGGGGATGTGGACAGGGATGGGGATGGAGACAGGGATGGGGATGGGGATGGGGATGGGGAC